ATCTATAAATATAGTTGCATATTATTCTAAGTTACAGATGAGTTTTAAGCAACTACTATATGACAAAAATTAATCTATGGAGACCAGTGACAAGTGGTGTTCCCCAGGGGTTGGTATCAGGACCAGCACTGTTTGACATCTTTGTCAGCGACGTGGACAGTGGGACTGAGTGCGCCCTCAGCAAGTTTGGCAATGACACCAAGCTGGGTGGTGCGGCTGACACGCTGGAGGGAAGGGAGGCCATCCAGAGGGACCCTGACAGGCTGGAGAGGTGGGCCCGTGCAAACCTCATACAGTTCAACAAGGCCCAGTGCAAGGTCCTGCACCTGGGTTGGGGCAATCCCAAGCACAGATACAGGCTGGGGGATGAGTGGATTGAGAGCAGCCCTGGGGAGAAGGACTTGGGGGTGCTGGTTGACAAGAAGCTCAACATGACCCAGCAATGTGCGCTTGCAGCCCAGAAAGCCGACCAGGCTGCATCAAAAGACGCGTGACCAGCAGGCCAAGGGAGATGATTCTGCCCCTCTACTCCACTCTCATGAGACCCCACTTCCAGTACTGCGTTCAGCTCTGGGGCCCCCAGCATAAGAAGGACATAGACCTCTTGGAGAGTCCAGAGGAGGCCACAAACATGATCAGGGGGCTGGAGCACCTCACCTATGAAGATAGGCTGAGAGTGTTGGGATTGTTCAGCTTGGAGAAGAGAAGGCTCAAGGGAGACCTTATAGTGGCCTTCTAGTACCTAAAGGGGGCCTGCAAAGGTGAGAGGGACTACTTTACAAGGGCATGTACTGATAGGACAAGGGATAATGGCTTTAAACTGAAAGAGGGTGGATTTAGATTAGATATTTGGAAGAAAGTCCCCACTATGAGGGTGGTGAGGCACTGGCACAGGCTGCCCAGAGCAGCTGTGGCTGCCCCCTCCCCGACAGTGCTCCAGGCCAGGCTGGATGGGGCTGGGAGCAACCTGGTCTGGTGGAAGGTGTCCCTGCCCATGGCAGGGGGTTGGAACGAGATGGTCTTTAACATCCCTTCCAAACCCAAACCATTCCGTGATTCTATGAAAGACTGACTCCCATACACCACTGAACAGTTTTGGTAAGCCTGGTGTAAATGGTCCTAATCCTATTGAAGGTTCCTTCCTGGAGAGATTTTGAAGCATAAGAAAAGCCGCTCTGAACCCCTTCATTACTCTTCCTAGAGGTAAAGATGTTAAGTAAGATGGGCAGCAACAAATTGGTCTGAGTTCATTACTTCTCTATTTATTTAAAATCCATCTCATTTTTCACTAGTAGTTTTGTAGAGTGATACTCCAAACAATGAGTCAAGACTGATATTGAAGTTATTTTAAAATTTAAATTAATCAAATAAAATCACCAATAATCTGCATCTAAGACTCTCTACTGCAGTCATCCCACCCCTGCATGTCACCCCTCCTTAGGGCACAGTTCCTCATGCTTCCTCCCTCATACTGCTGTTAGAGTATTTTGGAGCATAAACTTTCCAATTAATACCATGTCTTCTCTAATACAAAGTAATATTACAGCAATTATATGACTCATTAATAATCATAGAAATTCCACTCTAGAAAGCAGCATGCAAAAGGTCCGATACAACACTTGCTACTAGAAGAGCCAGTTGCTAACAGCGTTTACTGAAGTCAGTATTTTTCCCGTTCGTGCTACGTGTGGAATCCTCTCCTTGAACTTCCCCCTATCATACCTCAATACATCTGTTCAAAAGCTGACGTTTCAGACTGCGATTTTTCCAAGTCAAGTGGCAATCTCAGCAGACATGACTATAAAAGACTACTGGGAAATTACTCAACTGTAATAGTTTAAAAATAAACTTAAGAAAGAGAGATTAATTCCCTATATTACTTGAAAACAATATGATTAAGCCTTTGCATTCTGAAACCATGGAACTGATTTTTTTTTCTTTAGGAAGAATAGGGAAGTAATAATTGTTGGCGGACCCTCAGGGGCTATAAATGTAGCTAATTGTGCTTATACTTAAAAACTATTTTTAAAAAGTACTATGTTTTTACTATAAAAACTTTCTTCCCAGGATACCTGTGTCTAGTTTTCAAATCATTATTCTATGCACATCTCTTCACCAGGTAGGTACTTTGGACAGCACATGAACTCTTTACATTCACTTGGATTAACAAAATAAATCCTATTTTATAATCATTTCAATAGAAAGTATGTTAACAATGCATACAAATAGTCTCATAGCTGGTTTTTATTCTTTTAAAATTTTTTCCACGCTCTTCTGAAGCACTAACATGAAAAGACACACACATTCGCAACATGCTTTGCACACACATACTGTTTGACAACTCCATCGTCTCTCCACAACTACCACCTGATATCCTCTACAAATATTCCACGTATCGGATGTTTCTACACTTCCCCTTGTGCACAGCACCATGGTATTGCCATATTCCTTGTAAACATGGTCTACAGTCTTTTTTTTTTCTTTGTTGATAGACAACGTTGTATTTGGCTGTATTAAAGCGTACATTGCTCAGATGAATGTCAAGTTTTTAGAAGTGACATACAATTTGTATCTTGACAGCATGACTTGGTTTCCATCAAGACTAATTTTCCACCAGACACCATCTCCTTCATAAATACCATGTTTGATTATGGTAAAAAAATTGTTCAGTTTTACTAACATGTCACATATACCATGTTAAGAAAACTTAAGCTATGGGCTGTAGGCATGTGTCCTGGTAAGAACATAGAGACCTAATACCCTTCACATATCTTCACCTACTAAATGAAAATGAAATGCTCAAAGATACAAGAATATTTTGACTAATTACAACCAGAAATTTTCCTAGGAAAACCAGAAAATTCTTTTTTCAGGCAAGCTGAGGTTAAAATTCCAGGATTCTGCACACCACAAGCTCGAAGCTGAAAGCAAGGCGACCCTGAGAGGAGCGGAAGCCATCCTCTGAAGAGAAGAGCTCAATGATTTATGCATTGCCATGGCTGTGCAACCCCAACCTAAAGGTAAAAAAAAGTCTCTTACTTCCCTTAACTGAGAAGTGTATTTCCAAAAAACCTCATAAACAGTAGATCAACTGTCATAAGAAACTGTGCCTTTGAAATCAGATGTGAGAAGTGCGGATATAGAACGTTGTTCTAAGCATAAAGAATTTGAATGCTTTCGTATAATTTCCAAGATACTGATATTAAATCTGCTATAACTGGATGGTCCTTTCCTGAAGTGTGGTCCTGAACAACACACAGCATTGCACTGCAACTCGTCTAAGCCTGTGCTGGAGGCACAATTTTTCCAGCCTACAATTGGAGTACGTGTCAGTATGGAATCTTAGCTAAAAATAACATTAGCTATTTATATTTAATGTTTGGATGAAAAAACCCATCTATTTAAGGTACAGTCAGTTGTTTCTAAGATGTCAACAGTAAGTAATATTATTTGAAGCGGAATGTTTTATTTAATAGCATGTATAATGAAACTAGTGGAAAAATATTGAAATTTCAGAAAAGTATTAAATGACCATCGTGCAACTCATTTCAGATTAGTGACAGTTGTTACTATGTGTGTACCTAAGAATACTTCACTTGACTTAGCTCTGCTGTGGAATTAAAAAGCATTCAGATATTTCAATATATCGTATATTATAGACAGCGAACCTAAGTTTCAACTTGTGTCAGTAAGACCCAAGAAACTCCCCTGAAGTAATCATTTACATCAACATAAAGAGGATGCTTGATGAAAATCAAGTCCCAAATGATCCAGTCAGTTCTGAAGCTAGTGTAGCAATCATTTAGCTCAGACAGAAATTGCATTTTTTTATTCTACCAGCCAAGTTTCAGGTTCATCACAAATGAAATCTGCTACTGATCTGATTATCCAAATAAGGACATTTTTTCCTGAAAAGATGAGCCCGAGGTCAAAGAATTTGAACCCTACACTATTTTCTGATCATTTTAATATACAAAGACAGGAAAACAATAGTCTTTTAAGGTAAAATATAAACCCAAAGCTAACTCAAATTCATATTGACTTACTAAAAAATAAATTCCGTTACATGTTCTACTGCCTAGTATAGCATCCAAATGGGAAGCCGGTGTTACAGTGGGCCTTTTATAAAATAATTCAACACTTACATAAGTAGCACCTCTTAATAAATGGCCACTGGCAAAGGAGAATACTTCATAAGGCTCACAATTTCCCTTTTTTTGATGGGTTAATTATAATTCCATCAACACCTGAAAGTTGTACCGGATCCATGCACAGAAGTTAGGGTCACAGGAAGAAATGCAGATGACCAAGTACAAATCTGACTGCTTGCTTAATAGCATCCAAGTGCAAACTGTGCTCTTAAAGTATCTTTCCCCACACCCCCCCCCCAAGATACATTTATTATTTAGAATCTATAAACATGACATGACCAGGTGATCACTCAGCAGTAAATATTTACTTATATTAAAAAAAGGTAAGAGCCGCTTTATAAATTCCCGGATAGAACATTACATACTGATACAAATTTATTGAAGAACTAGCTCTTGTCCCACGGGCATTCATGTAACAAGTCAATTGAGATACAGAATTCTACATTATGAATTCTTAGGTTAGTTTAAACTCACCCTAGGCTAAACCAGCCATCTGACTTAGGTGCGTGAAATCCAATCCCATAAAAATGTGTCTGTCTCAGTCAGCTACTGAATTTTGACTGTTAATGTTTTGAATTTAATTTAAATGAAATACTGCAATCAAACTTGTTATTTCTATAAACTTTGGGTTTGATGCTGTTTTTAAAAAGATGACTTTTTTGTATAGTTAATGACACCCACTTATCTACATCTATTTTACCTTTTGATTCTCCACACTACACACTAATTACAAAGAAGCACAAAGGCAAGACAGAAATGTTGTCCAACAGCCTTAATTTTATTTTTTCAGTTTGATATTGTCTCGTTAGCCTTCTGGAAAACAAAATCCAAGGAAATGATAATTTGGTTTTAGAGCTTAATAGCAGCTCTTAGCTTGGCCGACCTTCCTCTTGGGTTTGTTTGAATATCCTTGGCCTGCGGTGTAAGAACTTTTTTCTGTATAAAACCCCACTTTGAGTTGGATTTTCCATGGGGAAATTCTTGTGTATCTTCTTTTCTGGAGCAATATTTCAGAGCCTGTCTTATCTTCTGCCTTGAGCCAAGATTGTGCTTTTCAGTCATGTCTATTCCATGAAGAAAACGTTTGATAATACGATCTTCCAGCGAATGAAAGGAGAGGGCTACAAGGCGACCGCCAGGTTTTAGAAACTTCTCAGCTGTCTTCAGCCCTATAAAGAGCTCGTGGAGCTCATCATTTACAAATATTCGCAGGCCTTGAAAAGTTTTTGTAGCAACGTGCGTAGGTCTCTGAAGCAAGTCTTTTCGTGCATACAGAGCTGACGCTGGAAAAGCACCTGTCAAATTTTAAAAGGTATATGTTAATATCTTATTATTTCTCCATCGCTATCCTGATATTAATCCATCCACACATGACGACTTTAAAGGAAAGCATACCTACAACTGAACCCTGAGTGGTGAGCTTCCTTCTTCATAATGTATCTTTATTTTCTGCTTTGAATTCACATTTCTGAAAGTAAACCCTATTAAACTGAGCTTGCTTGCAGTTGAATGCTTTTTTTTTCGCCCCTAGATTTTTCTCCTAGAAATTCCTTCCCCAACTGCTTCACAAAGTCAAAATTTAAAATGATGGCTGAAATCAAGATAGGGAAAAAATGAAGATGGGCTAAGTCTCACTTTACAGCTCAGTGTAGACAATATTAGCTCAGTATTTGTGGTGGTTTGTTTCATGCTTTTAAGGCCAAAAAAATTAATATACGACGGACAAAATTAATTGTTGCCTTTACATAATTACACATTTCTTCACAGGCAGAGATAAGATGGAGACAATGCGTACCTGGTGATAAGTATCATTCAACTAATTACTTAAAGCTTAAAACAGGCATCCTTGTTTGGGGATAAAAATAGCTGACCACTACACCTGTGCTGCTTTAAATATTCGCAAAAATACCTTGAGACATTTAGAAAATGCAGCTGATACTGTTGCTTTTTCACATGCCTATAGAGCAGAATGTGTCAAGGTATGAGTTTGTTGGACAAAAAGAAAATCACCAGAATAAATAAATTTACTAGATGCACAAAACTCCCTTTCTCCAAAATTCTTATGAATTATACAAGTTTCTCTAGAGACAGAAATTTTGATAGCAACTTTAATATATCATTATTTGATGTATTTTAGGGTTGTATCTTCATTATCTGAGTCCAGAGCAAAAAGCTACCTACAGAAGCCAGATTTGATGGATCAAAGGGACAAAAGTGCAAGAGTCCTACAAGATCCTTGAAACCTGAGTAAACTTATAATCTGTTATGTAAGTGAGCACAGGAGTCTGGTAAAGATAAATTGAATGAATAATGCTAGCGCATAACTGGAAAGAATTATTTCTCCAAACAAGATGGCCCATTAGAGGTAAGGCAATACAGCTGCTATGCGTGTATTAAAATGCCTTAATTCCAGGCCACTGCTAAACTACAACATAATAAAAGCAATGGGTTTGAGGTAAATGCAGTTCATAATCAAGTAATTGATATTCTGCATAGTGGAGTAAAAGAAGGGAACACGGTACCTCTGAAACAAGTTGACTAAATTCACATTTACACAGGTGATTGAAAAAAATTTAATAGAGATATCATCATCCAGTACCTTGGCACAAAATAATTTATTAGTGAATTCTTGAGAGCTGTAGAAGTAAGATTTTACTTATGTCAGAAAACGTGTATGGCATCAGAAACACACAAGTGACCATCAGCGTTCAGCAAAGGGAGAGGCCAATAATGGGATTTGAAAATTCAATTCATTATTAACAAAGTTATTACCATGTATGCGACGTAGCTAAGATGTGCTTCTGCATACTCGATTTTCCCAACTACATTCCCTACCTTCTCTGACGCTAATGCTAGCAGTTCCTGAATTAACTGAAGAGAGCCATTGTAGCTGTGGCTGCTTCCTATTCCTATAGCCTGAATACTTCGAAACCAAAAGTGGCGACAGGATCAACTTCTCCCAGCACAAACTACTGTCCAGGAATTTGTGGCTTTAAACTCTGTTTCACAAAACAGAGTAAATAGATTTAACCTGCAGGAGCTAGGCTCCCCCATCACTTACAAAAAGTTACCCTAGCTAGCTAATATAATTTCTGTCTTTGAGAACACCACATTCTATACTTTCTGTAAATCATAAAAAGAATATATACCCTGACTGCGGGAGGCACAAAGCCGGTTTTCACGGAAGAGCTGAACTGAAAGGAGAACTCAAAACCACAGAAGGTAAGATGTCCCAAGAAACCAACTGACACCAAGCTCGTACTACTTGGCACAGTATCTGTTGCCATATTTCTTTACGTACCTAAAACCAGACTCTTTGAAAATGCAAAAGCAGCCATTGTGTGTGAACAAAACGGCCTCAACGCATAATACAAAGGAATGCTCCGCTGAGCAAAATAAGCAATTGTCTTTAAATGGTCAACTAACAGCTAAAAACACTAGTAGTATGCACAGAATTCTTGAGCAGTTATTAAGTGAAACAGCAGGGTTTAAAATCAGCATGTAATGTATCCAAAACCACCACAGGACACGCATGTTTCCACAGCCTGCACTAAGTGACTAACATAGCTTCGTATCCTCTGTAAGTCCTGTCTTAGGTTTCAGTCATAAGAGCATTTTTCTTCAATGGGATTTGAAGTCGAAACATCAGGTACATGGGTACCTTTTGAATACAAATACAGAAGTCATGGTTTCTTGACTAAGAAAATACTGGTTTTGTAAGAGATCCCACACAACAAATGTCTCTCTTTTAAGCCTGGTTTTGAAGCCATTCAAAACATACCTCACACTTCCCCTCCCTGCCTCCAAAACCAAGCCCACTGCTGCCATGTTCACTCTACAAAACCAGCTGTTAACGGAATGAAAAAGCACTGATCCCTTACAAAATACTAGTTATTAACAAGCTAGTGGCTTAGAAAACACGCTGCATTTTTTTTCGGTTCTACCTGTACTGTTCCTGCCCCTTGCAGAACAATTTACAGCTGTGACTTCAAGAGCATCAGTTTTATACTTTCGTTTTTGAGCTGTTAGTACCCAGAGCTGGTATTCACCTCTCAAAGAAGATGCAGAATTTTATAACTACCATATTTTAGCAGTCAAAGTATCTTCTAAAAATACTGATGGTTTTCTGGGGATGATCCATTTCTGATATTTTAAGTATTTCAGCAGTATCACAGACAAAAAGAAAGCCAACCCACAAGGGTACAGCACGGAATTTAGGTACAAAACAGACTGCACTTCTTGATTGGGACCCAACCATAAAAACAGACGCCTAGAACGAGATCCTTGGTTTAAATTTCCACAGCCAATCTCGCTGGAATTTTAGTAAAATACTGCAAGTTTTATATCCTATGTCACCAAAGTATCTTTTACTTATCAAAAAAACCCAAGGACGATAAAGATCTACTTCAAAACTGGTTTTGTAATAGTCTAAACAGTCGTGGCATGCTGATATCTGGCCAGAGTTTTAGTAGTCTGATCATGAGTGCCACTATTTTGCAATCGCAATACTGAATAAGATAAACAAAAGAAATTATATACTCGGGCTACCAGCATGAGTAAGACACTAAGGGGTCTTTGGAAGGTTTTTCTGTTTATCCTGCCATGGTTATTGAGTGCAGTCTCTTCCTACAATAATCTTCTATGATGAAATTCTGTGAAATTAATTTATTACCGTGAATCAATTTATCATACACTGAAGAAAAATAAATTAAACCCCGATATATTCTGTAAGTATAATGCAATCTTACATGCCTCAGTAAAACACTCACAAACAACACTGCTGGTCATATACAACGGTATGGAACGCTAACATTCAGGAAACTGGTAAAGAAATGCAGCCACGTTGCAGCTTTACGCAACCAAAACCCCCCAAACTAAAACCAAAATCAAACTACTTTCAAGTTCAAAGACTTATTGGTCTGTCTTCAGAGACTGGGATTATCTAACGACTGTAATCTGTGGCGGTGATTTCTGTCACACCGGCCTTCATCTTTTTAGTAAAGGCAGCAGATTTTGATGTATGTTCCAGGGGTGAAAAATTTTCCTACCCTACTCTTAGTCCTCTGGTATAGTTAAATGAAAACCTATTTGTGCTTTCTTTTAAGGCACAAAATCTCTCACCCAGCCCCCGCCGACTACCATGACACTAACAGAAAATCCTTCCTGGTAACAGGCTGTACAACGTACAAAAATATAAAAAATCTGTATGGGAAGCTTGTAAAACGAATTTCATTCATAAAAACACCACGCTTCTGGCTAGATGACTGGTTTGAAATCCCAGTGAGAGAAGTTATCATTTTTAGTTTTGGGATGCCCTGACGCTACTTACGCTTTTAAAAATCTAATAGATTCACATGTTGAAGTGTTTTGAAATATTAAAGCTTGTGAATGAAATTAGCAACGTGCTGTGCCTGTCAATATAAACTATTAAAGTCTCCAGAGTGTACGAGAGTGGGAGAGTTTAAAAATTAATTCAGATAGTGCACCTGTTTGCAGGAATCCGTCTGTTGAATTAGCAATGCATTTAATAAGTTTCTGTGACGCAACTAATGTCCTTTTGTCTAGGCTCCCTCAGTACAGTGCTAATTCTCACTCATCTGAAATTCAGGGAATATTACAAATTCCAGACTGATATTTAAAGTCTATAAATGTGAACCAATCTGAGACTCGCTTTACCCACTAAAGTTATTTTTAAACTTTCCAAACTTCTTTAATATCTCATCAATTCCTTTCAAGTTAAGCCCAAATTATCACACGATCTCAAAATGATTTCGATTACATATCTAAATAACACTGAGAAAAATTAAATTTTGAACAAAATCTAATTGACAACAAGGTATATTACCCACTGAAAAGAAACAGCAATAGATCATCAGTGGTACAGAAAAAGCATGTTAAAATTACATTCTAAAAATTTCAGTATTTTTAAGCAGTTTTCCCGCACACTGAGTTAAACCTATTGTTTCCAAACAACTCAGTGAGCTACAGCAACGGCAAGTGCTTCTGAAGGGACTTCCACACAGAGGTCTGTTCACAGACCCTCATTTGAGAACCTCTGATCTTTAGTATTTAGAGCGTTGATCGTTGCAGATAGCTGTGTGAAAACTGTAAACAGGGAGTGGAATATAACTGTGCTGCCAGGAGAGACATGACCGAACAGAAAATTCCTTTTTCCCAGGTAAACTGCAGAGATCTCCTTTTTTGAACGGATCAGAAGTCTTTTGGACTACGTTTAGAAAAAAAAAAGTGCCAAACTCCTGTTCGGTGTTTTTGTAGGACCTTATTCATTGGCACAGTATGTAAAGATAACTTTCAGGCTGTATGTCAAGAAATAGAAGGAATTAATTTGAACTGGAACAAAGGAGAGCCAGAAATCCCTTGGATACCCAAGTTAGCCCCGAGCTGTTGTAGGCAATTTTGACACACAAATCTTTTTTTTTTTTCAGCTATACCTTAAGATTATAACGGGAGAGCCAGAAATCCCTTGGATACCCGAGTTAGGCCCGAGCTGTTGTAGGCAATCTTGACATACAAATCTTTTTTTTTCAGCTATACCTTAAGATTATAACACTTGCTAATACAAACTTTGAAAATGTCTGATCGTTCTGTAACGTTGTGGAGCTGTTTTGTTTGTTTGTTTTTTAATTACATCCTTCACTCTTATCTCCCAATCAATTAGCAACGGCACTACGCGTTCTAACCTTTTGGGGGCGGCAGGAAAGACCAGAAGTCTAGCATTCTATAAATAGAAATTAAATTTCCCAGTTGCAGGCTAGTCCAAATCTAGATTCACTGGGATTCAGTTTATCAGCTGGACCTTAATGCAAAACTTTGGAGCTCTAGAAAATCTGAGGCCATAGTGATCTATAGCATGCAAAAGAAATATGGACTATATATGAATTCTCAGATACGGACACCAGCAGAGAAAGAGACAAATACCCAGCCTCATTGGCTAGATTTTTTGCTCGTTTTCTGGCTCCTAAGCAAAAAAATGCATCCTGTTCTGGAGAGACAATCATGCTTGTATATACAGTCTGCAAAATCTAAAATGCAAGATTTTATTATTCTAATTAATATTTTATTTTTTTAAAGGACTTGACATTTAACTAATAGGTCATAGACTTTACTCTGGTAGAGTCCTGAATTAGTCAGGGTTTTTTTTTGTGCTATGCCACCAAGAGGATCCTGTAGCTGTAGTCTCTGGCACTTCAGCCCTGGCTCACCTCAATAACTTCCTGAACATCATTTCTCATAAGAATATGTATTGGTGATAGAAGATAAATTAAACAATGTCTTACAGTTACCAGAAATTTTCTTAAGGTCTAATCAGTTCAAAAACTAACAGGATCCACCATTGTGTTCCTTCACTGGAGAAATTAAACTAAAATTGGAAGAAGTCCTACCTAAACAGGGATCAGTCCTAAAATCATTTTAACTACTTGTGTACTTCAAAAAAGGCACACAAAACGCATTTACTGCCTTGGCAGATACATGCTGCACTCATTCTCTTTGGCACGTGTAATATCTGATGCACACCTGATTCATGGATCAAGCTGCTCTTCAAATATAGCAGAGAGTTTAAAGTGAGAACAAAAAATCCTTCCCATTGGCACAGACAGTGACCATTAGGCGATGACTCACATGCAACCCATTAAACATAGAATAGTGGAATCGTTTAGGCTGGAAAAGACCTTTAAGATCATCAAGTCCAACTGTTAACGTAACACTGTCAAGTCCACCGCTAAACCATGTCCCTAAGGTCATGAAGGGATCATCAATCACTGTCTTTTATGCACTAGTATTTTTATTTTCTTAGCTCAAGCTAGTGCACAAAATTATTTCAGAAGTTACCGAGTTGCCTTTTTACAGCCCATAACACATCACATCTTTAGCGCAGCATATGGTGGTTTCAGTCTCAGTAACGGTACACTTTTAATCAACAGTTATTCAAAAGCATGGGGTACATGTTGATGGCAAAAACTTGAATTATTAGTTCATGATCTTGATGACAATAACTATATTAAAAACATAACTCTTCAAGTTTTATAAAAGACTCAGTGTTTTATCTCTTTTTTTTTAAGATTGTTTGTTCCTCACATTTACTATATTTACAGCAGGGTCTTACAACAACAAGTAGTGTATTCATGTCCTTTTATCACATCAGCTAAACTTTGGGCCTCTGTTGACTGGATATTTTGCTCAAGTATCCTGACTGACACAAATCCAAACCTTTTGATTTTTTTATCGGTCATTAAAAGTAAATCCTTTAAGCTTCCAGTTTAAGTAATAGAAATTGTTATGAATACAATACATTTTTTAAAAGTCTTCAGGATACTGATGCAACATTTAACAGTATTCTTTAGCAAATGTTGAATTTGGATGGCCTTTTTAAAGGTCTATATTTAAAGTAGTCAGCAGTTTACACTTATTTGTGACAGGAGCCAGTAATTTTCATTTCTTCAATAAAAAACCAACCCAACAATACTCATCATAATATTAATGAACAGGATTTGCAGCTTACAGTTTTCCTTGCAAATTTTCACTTGAGAACACAAACATGAAGGTTCTTGATGTGAGCACAGTTGCTGCCTAACTACATTTTGTTGAAGTTGCTTACAGTGAAGGGCAAGTAAGATGAAGTGTTTCAATAGTCGCTTCGGGCAGATCTCGTTGGCATTCACAAGACGAAGCAAGCCACGTATTGCTTTACTTTTTGGTTTCTGGTTCTTTAAGCAGACAGAAATGATCTGAGTTCATTCATAATTGGAAACTGCCATGGTACTTCTCAAAATATTAACATGTAGAAATTTACAACTGAGAGGGGTATATGACGTATCTGATATTTGAAGGCTTATCAATAGCTGGGAAAGAATTCCCTAGGCTGCTGTCATTCTGTGTTTCAACTTGGTTGGCAAAAAGATAAATCACTTCATGTAAAATCTATTGGTGAACTAATCATCAAACTACAATACAAAAAGTGAGAGCTTAAAAAAAAAAAAAAAGAGCGTGCTGACATCAGAGTAGAATAGGCAGGATTACATCCTGCATGATTTCAAGTACAAATAGATCCCTCTGGGACTATGGGGATTAATATTTTTTTTCTCCTCAGCCACTGTGAAGAATTAATGAGAGTACCTGCAACAATGCTTGCAAGCTGCTGAGTTCTGGTGATGGGGTATATGCTGCGTGCCTGAACAATGGCTGCAGCGATTTTCCTGGCGTGCCTCTCCTCCCCGTACGTTCTCAGGATGGACGCAAGCGCCTGTTGATCTAAAGCATTCACCACATCAGCCGCAGTGGGCATGTCAGGGTACCTACGCACAAGAGCAGCCAATTAGTTCACTGACGTCAGTTTTCATTGACAAGAGGTGAAGCTTCATAGCATTGAGACATAAAGTCAAACACACACATTGCATACGAGTGCTTGTGAGGTTTTCACATAACAGACTGAAACCTTATGAAAACAGATACAGCTCACACCTTTTAAACCCTTTCGCTTGCTACTTGAAATGGAGTTTGTTCCTTAACATCAGTGAGAACAGCTGAAACCTCCAAGTATGATCATAAACCATGCTTAATGATTTGACAAGAATACATTTCAGTATAATGCTAAAATGGAACTGCTGAGTGACTTTTTATGTAGCTAGCATTAGAATATAAACTTGCCCCTTATGGGCTCATTTTTAGGCAGCTTGCATTATGCGTTGTCTTCTAGTCAGAAATGATTTCAAGGATCTTTTCTTTCACATCTCCTGCTATGAAAACAATTGCTCATGAAAATGATTTAACTTTACTTTTCACTAAAAGGCATATCCAAATACTGGTCTGAGATAATAGAAATGACCTAGTATAACAAATGACAGGAATTACTACAATATAAGCAGTAAAAGCCACGCTTTTTTTTTTAAATCTCTGTCATTTGCTATTGAAATAATTCAAGGTATTTTATGAACATCATACACTGGTTTACTAATCAGAGAAAACATACCTACTTAATAAATCCTCTTCTACAAAGACATGACTATGCAGAGTATTTTTCAGGCATTTATTACTCTCCTGCAGTACCTTACAAAAGATAACAAAACTTAGAAATCAGAGGCAAGTAGTATCATAGCAACAACCGTAGTGGTAAGGCTTTTGTTATGCCACAGGTATCCTTTGTTCTTATGCTCCTGTTCCATGTATATAGTCTCATGATGCAAATATAAGCCTGGAGTTCAGATTCTTGAAATCTGAGGGGTGAATCCCAGGAGGATCATGTGAGCTTTTAACACAAAACTGGAAAAAGCGCGTATCATGAAATCTGCTGTGTTAAGACTTAACATTAATGTGTTCAGATAATTCCTTAGAAACTGAGGCTTCCCGTCAGCTCCATGTGAGCAATGAAAGATCAAATGACATTTCTTAAGACTATGGGTTCATAAAACACAAAGCAAAAATTTTAATTCTCCCAGTGATGCATTATGCAATTACTGCCACCATCTATACAAGAGATCCTTGGTTGTTCATGTAAAAAGCACAACGCTACAGAAATAAATCAGGTTGTTTAAAGATGAAAACTGCTACATAAGTAGAAAATATCATTCCACCATTGATTTTCCTGCTCTTGAACACACTAAACACCAATTCTAATAATGTAAAAAGAGGTGATTTATTTAGTAATTGTTACTTCAACAGTTAAGCAAGCCTGATGTGCCTCCTCACACAACACGAAAGGAAGCTTACAACATTGCTAAGGAAAGCTTACAATAAATCCACGGGCATGGAAGACAACATTATACCAGCATGTTAAAAGCCACGCTGCTATCCGATTTCGACTGGCAGATATCATGGATGGGATTTTATTTATTTCATATTACCCTGTAGTAACTGGGTCAGATGGCCATTGCAGAAAAGAGGGAGGTTGCTCCTTTCCCGCGGGAGCAACTGAACGTGCTCCAGTGGAGGCTGCGCAAGTAGTAAGTGTGGCACAAAAGGAAGAGGACTGCAGTAAGGGGCTGTGAGCCTGCAGATCAATTACATTCTGAGACACTGTGGAAATAACAGGGGGAAGACAGGCCTCTGACAGCGACATGCCCCTGTGACTGTATACCATACAATCCAAAAATGTAAAATTTAATGGTACAGGTAAAAATGTTACCGGTTTAATTACTCATCACTGGAACTTTCCTCTTATTTCAAAGAGGAACAAGAAGATAATTAGGGTTCTAAGTGCTGAGATTGAAAAAAAAAAAACACCTTTCTGGCAAAAGACAGACAGTATACTTTTGCAAAATTAGACGTAGTCTGATGGTGAGAATTCTTCAATTTAAGGGGAAATTAAATGCAGGGGTGTTGCTGAGCACACACTTTTTTAGTTTCAAGGAGAAATATTTTATTAACAGGTACCTGTCACTATCCATCCTCATGTCCAAAGGTCCGTCCTTCTGCAGGGAAAAACCTCTTTCAGGAGTATCAAATTGCATAGAAGAACAGCCAGCGTCCAAGAGAACTCCATCTAGAGTCCCTGGCTCAACTCCAGAGGAGATTAACAAAGCCTCTGACTGGCTAAACTGTCCTAGAAGAGCTCGAATCTGTTTCCTGTAAGAAAATAACAAATAAGTCGCCTCAATTTTAATTATAACGGTGCAATGTCTTCCCCTTGTATAGCAGGAATTAGACAGTAGCGCTCACTTGTCTCAGAAGCAATAGGGCTATTCCCAAAGTAATAGTTTAAGTACTCTTCATATACCAACGTTGAAAACTGGTCCAATCCACCCACCAGCGCTTACTCAAGCTTCTTTACTCTTTACTCCCTTCCTGCTTGATCTCAAAGCAACGGAAACCCAACTAAAATTTCACTTTTTCAACAGCCAGGAACTCAGAGACCCTTTTCACATTCAGC